GCAAAATTTGACTTCTCGTCTCGTCCCACAACGCATTTTTTAATGGATTATTGAAACAAAATCTCTTTTTTTGCAAACAATTGAACAATTGAATTATTTGTCCAATATGAGATGGAAGAAACTAATTCTCCAACATTGGTACTATCTAAAAAATTTAGTTTAAAACCTTGATAGAAAATCAATAAAAAACTACCATTATATGCTATATTGAACCCACATTGCAAAAAAATGGTAAATTATATTGGATTAATATTAGAAAAATAGGCGCTGCCAATATGAACATTAAAAAAATATGTTGTGCTGATATTGTTCATATGTTTTAAATCAATATTGTTTTGATATCAGACTGAATTCTGTTGCCAATATAGGCTACTGCTATTTTGTCATCATTAAGAAAACATAGCTCTCTAACATTGGCAATATCAACAAAACATAGTTTAAACCTAAATAGAAAATCAATAAAAATCCAATAAATTACCATCATTTGCCATATTGCTCCCACATTGGAACAAAAATGATAAATTATATTGGATTAATATAGAAAACATAGGCGTTGCCGATATTAACATTAGAAAAATATGTTGGACTGTTATTAATCCTTTGTTTAGAATCAATATTTTTTTAATATAATATTAAATTCTTTAGCCTACTCCAATATTTACATTATAGACAGAACATAGCTCTCCAACATTGGCACTATGTACTAAACAAAGATTAAACCTACATAGAAAATACAATAAACTACCAATATTGGCTATATTTCATCCACATTGGTACAAAAGTGATACTGTATATTGGAATAATATTGAAAAAATAGGCATTGCCACTATGAACTTTAGAAAAATATGTTGGGCTGATATTAATCATATGTTTTGAACAAATATTTTTTTGATATAAAATTGAATTCTGTTACCAATATGGGCAACTGCTATTTTTTCATCATTTAGAGAACATAATTCTTCAAGATTGGCCCTATCTATAAAACAAATATTAAACCTAAATAGAAAATCATTAAAAATCTAATAAACTGCCGTTATTTACTATATCTCACCCACATTGGAACCAAAATGCTAAATTATATTGGATCAATATTGTGAAAATAGGTGTTGCCAATATAAACGGTAGAACCATATGTTGGACTAATATAAGGGCAATATTATAAAGCAATATCTTTTAGTCATAACATGAAGTTCTTTTGCCAATATTGGCTGCAGGTCATTAATATTGGTCCAAGTTTCAAATATGGAACCAACATTTTGCCAAGCCACAGCCAAGATTCATTGCTACCTGGGTTATTTAGCTTGATGACTAACGAACAGCGCCAATTCGCCAGTTGGTTAACTTACTGTATTGATGTTTATATTTTATTTAGCTTAATTCAATCCTAGATATACATAGATTTGTATTTTCTTAGGTATTTATTTCGATGAGTATAGAGGTGATGACCAATGGACTTAACAAACCAGTTGGTTAATTTACTATTAAATTTTATTATCTAGATTTGCAATCTATCAAAGATAATGCATCTCTGTATAATTAATAAATTATGAAGGTACCTGGGTGAAATAGGTTACAGTACCAGCTCCGTCACCCATAAGCAACATGTATAGATGTAACTACTGTGAGCTATATAAAGAGTTGAAGAACGGTTAAATAATGGGAATGCCTTTAGATGAAATGCTTCCAAAATAGAACTTGCCAAAACAATAAAAAGTAAATACACCAGAGAGGAGCAGGAGTAGGTATATATAGTGCCAAGCCAAATATAAGAATATCACTGCAACAATATTACAAGCAGAAATATTAGCAATACATTACTGCACAAAAGAAGCATTAAGACATAAGGTAAATGGAAAAACCATTGTCATGTACTCAGACAGTCAAGCAACGTTAAAAGCCCTCAGTTCCATGCAGGTGGATGTTGGACATATCTCAGGAATGGTAAAATGAGTCACCACGACATGGATAGGCCAGAGAGTTCTTAACCCTTTCCGGATAGCCGTTAGTAAGAGACACGCGCCTCCGTCAGCCGAACGCGGCAAAACATGTCTGGGAATTAAAACGTAAAAGTACGGCGCCAGGCTTGCATGATGGAGAATCGGAAGTCGTATCAGTACGGCAGCCGTCCTAAATGGGTTAAAAGGAACATCTACATAACCCAATGAGCATCTTCTAGGTAAGAATAGGAGTACAAGTATAGACCTATTATCAGGCCATTCTAGACTTAACAAACATACACATGAAGTCGATCTGACCGAAGAGACTATGTCGGTTCTGCCAGAAAGAGGCGGAAACTGCAGTACACATATTGTGCTACTGCGAAGGTCTATCAAAACTAAGATATCTTACATTTGGGGAAGCAAATCAAGGGCAATTAGCTTCCTAGTTCATGGAGTCTACTAGAAAAGACTAAACTAGACAAAGCATTCAAGTACCCAAAGTAATCAATGATCAATGGATATCCGCAATAGATCTAAAAGGTCGAGGTAGGGAGGCTAAACGGCTCGTAGTCCTAACCTAATCTAATATAGCTACAGTCCTAGGTTATCTCTTTGGGCCTACCTTTCTTGTAAAATGTTCGCATATGTATGCGAAGAAACGGTATGGTATCAATGCCGACAGTCGAGCCACTCATGCACCGTGGTAGGCGATGTATGAACGTGAGCGGTCACGCGACTGGCAACATGGATATTGTATCGTTTCTTCTCGTGCATATATGCGAAAGCTATTTGAACTTGGGAGGTTTCTATACAAAATAAACAAATTGACTTTCATGAATTCGAATTTCTTGCTCAGTGATTTTTTTAGATTTCAACAATATAAATAAATCACAATTATCCCAAGTACTTACACGTATAATCTTTTATTTAAATTGACCATTATTACCCAAGTAAATACTATGAGTAATAATAATAGTAATAGAAAGTTTTAATGGCAGTATCGTAAATAGCTACATAACAAAAAAAAAAATGTCAGCACTAGGTATCGGCCTATCGCCTCACTAAAACTTTTGTAATTATACATTTAAAAATTATGTATGCACAGTTTCATAACCATAATTCTTTCCTTATAAATATTTCTGATGTAACTGCAGTAAATACTGCCTTTAAACAGTAGTTACTGAGGATGCAAAAATAGTAATCAATCGGAATGTGGTTTCTATTATTGTACTATATTATTAGGTACGAATTTCTGTTATGGTATTGCTGGAAGGTACTAATTATTAGACTAGGAAAAGTTTGGTATGTCGATAATGAAAAATTTGCTTTCGCAGTTTGAGAGTCACTTATTTTTTGATATATATATATTTTTTTAAAATTCGATTAAGTTTGACTGTCAAAGTTCAAAGTCACTATTTCACAATATATTTATACAGGGTGATTAAATGTGAATACGCACAGGTAGGGACGAGAGGAAAACCAGGTCAAAACGTATCCGTTTTTCAGATATCATCTAAAACATTTTTATGTGATTTCGGTGATTTCGCTGAAAAAGCCCCCAAATCCGCTTAATTTTATACAATTACCTTTTTTTGGGGCTCTTCACCTTGTCTTTTGATCCGCAAGCTGCTGCATTTACATTTTTGAGCAACGAATTGATTTCGAAGTGATTTTGATGATGATTTTGACCATGATTTTCGATATTGATTTTGGAAATTTCGAAAATATTTCGATGATTTCGAGTGAAAACGTGCCAGTATACTATTGAATATTAAAAATAAACCCAAAAAATTTTTAACGGCTGTGGGTACGCTGCTTTATTTAGATCATTAAATAAAAACACGTATTTTGTGCAAATTTTATTAATAAAATTATCAAAGTGCTACAGTTGGACCATCCATAGTAAGTAAAATTTCGCGAAAATACCAGTTGATAAATTAATAAAATTAATAACTAATAATCCAGCATCAGATTTCAAATATGTTAAATTACATTTAACAGGAAATAAAAAATAATAGCGAAGTTTAAATCGTTATCTAATTAACAATAGTAAAAATTACGAAACCTATTAGAATTTAAATACTTACCAAATCCAACATACTTCTATTCATTCAAATGCAAATTCTAATCCTTCTATACACCAGGAACCATAAGTTACTTATCTTCGTAAACAAAAACTTATTTATGACGACAATTAATCATATTATTAAAAATTCAGATGTGAAAGTACTGTAGCTCTTTACCAGCACACCACGTTTAAAAATAAGATAAATAAAAATCGGCATCTATCGAATCCTTACCGCAATTTAACAATATAATTAAATTTTAGAAAGTTATTTCGGCTTCCTGGTGAGAAGCTGTGACGATTTTTATTTCTTAAGGCGAGCCTTTCAAAAAGGAACGTAATGCTAACTTTGTACCTACATATTAAAATCTCCAACGAAGTTGCAAACGAAATTAATAATAATCATAATGTATATAAAAAATAAATAATAGTAACAACGCGACGTAAAAAAAATGTTATGCTGCAGGTTCCTCCGGGATGAGTTTAACCCTTTAACCTTTTACTAAACAGTTCTTAACACCGTGTTTTTATATTAAAATAATTGCATAGTTTAACAAATTTTAAAGTTTGTTTTTTTCTTAATGCCTACTAGTACCTCTCCATCAGTAGTATGTGAAAATCAAATCCTTATCAGATCAGACATAACCATATTAAATATATCAGTATTAACATTTTCTCTATCCTGTAACCATGTTTCGACAGCAATAATAAAATCTACTTTGTCATTCAGACCATAATTATAAAAGTCTCTGGTTTGTATACCTATGCAATTTTGATAGCTTATCTTGACCTTGACATCAGAGGGCAAGCAATGTACATTGTTATGAAAAGAACTTTGGGCTTTATTAATAATTGAAAACTGAAATATATTATATATTAAGATATTGCATGGTAATAATTATTGGCCTACCTTATATGTGTATCTGCCTTAAATATATTTCTCAAGAATTTCGAAAAATATCTAGGACAAAACTAATTAAAACATTTTATTTCAGATGAAGATTGGAATGGGGATCCTGCAGAATCCACAGTTTATCTTATGCACCAACCAGCTCCCATACACATTCCTAAACCTCAAAGGGATAAATCTCCAGAACCCTCTCAAAGATTTTCGAGATACGCCGAACCGCAAAGTCCAAAATATGAAAAACAAAATCCTAGTAAGTTACTTAATCCATTAACTATCCTCTAGGTCAGGCCTTCACAACTGAGATTTTCAAAGGACCAATTCAAAAAAACCGTAGGTGTACGAGGGCCAAAAACAGATGTAAATTTTTTTGGCGGGGGTGGAGGCGAAGTATTTTAGCAGGTGCAACGCTCAAAAAAAATCATTTATAGTTTATTTCCAAAAGTTGTTTTTTAAATAAAATAAACATTATTTATTAAGTTTTATTTTAAATACATACATCAAAATTTTATTCATTAAAGTTTTTTTTGTGTTTTACCACATATATGATCTGATATCTATTAAGACAATTATATAATGCAATTTTGTTACCAAAAAATATACAGGGTGTACCAATAAAAACTCTCAGGCCGGATATTTTGGTAAGTAATGGAGATATTTTAATTCTGTAAAAGCCAGTTCATAGAGCGCTAAGAGAGCTTTAGTTTTAGATATAAATTGATTTTAAATAGGTCAATATGCAGATGGCGCTGCGCTCAATAATTTTTTTTCGATGGAAGGCTCTTTCTTATGTAGCGCATCTTGTAAAAGCATTTTTAAGTAAATTTTGTTTTTTGATATACAGAGTGGGTCACTCAAAACAGTTTTATCCTGTTTTTCGGCATTAATCATTGGATTTTTAGAAAATGCTAAAACAAGTCGATTTTTATTCTAAATTAAACACATTTTTTCAATACAGAATCTGTCATGTGTCAACCCCCTCCCTTCCATTTTTCCAACCCCTTAATTTTAAATGAGGAATGTACCATGTACGACACACCATTAAAAAGGTAATTTTATGGGGAAGTCAGAAATATGACAGTTTATTGCGATAATTTTAATTTTAGCGCCCTCTATCGGGATAAAAAAATCTCTAACGTATTATTAAGTGTGACACTTCATTTGAAAGCTAATTTAATTACTGATTCAATGCACCACATAGCATTAATATAAATATTTTCATATTGCACTTGCAACAAAATAAAGTTAGCAATAATGTTTAAAATAATGCATGACTAATTGTCAAACTATTGCAAGTGCAATATGGAGGATATTTATAATAATGTTATGTGGTACATTGAATTAGTAATTAAATTTGCTTTCAAATAAGGTGTCACACTTTAAAATACGTAGTTTTTTATCCCGATAGAGAGCGGTACAATTAAAAGTATCACAATGAACAGTCATATTTCTAAATTCCCCATAAAATTACCTTTTTAATGATGTACTACACATTGTAGTATCACACTCTATAATACGTAGTAGTTTTTTATCCCGCTAGAGGCCGATAAAATTTAAGTAACGCAATGTACAGAAATATTTCTGAATCCCTATTAAATTACCTTTTCAATGATGTGCCATACATGGTACATTACCTATTTAAAATTAAGGTGTGGAGAAGTGCAAGGGAGGGGGTTGACACATGACAGATGTCTGTATTGTAAAAATGTTTTTAATTTGGAATAAAAATCGACCTGTTTTAGCATTTTCTTAAAATCCAATGATTAATGCTGAAAAACAGGATGAAACTGTTTTAAGTAACCCACTCTGTATATCAAAATGGCTAGATATATCGAATTAGTTCATAAAACAAAATCTGCTTAAAAATGCATTTTTTACAAGATGCGCTACACAAAAAAGATCCTCCCATCGAAAAAAAATGATTGAGCTCAGCGCCATCTACATATTGATCTATTTAAAATCAATGTATATCTAAAACTGAAGCTCTCTTAGTGCTTTGTGAACTGGCTTTTACATAATTAAAATATCTTTATTACTTACCAAAATATCCGGCCTGGGAGTTTTTATTGGTACCCTGTATAGTTTGATGTAGACGGGCCAAATTGGTAAAGAAACAAAGGACCATGCAGCTCGCGGGCCGTATGTTGTGCAGGCCTGCTCTAGGTATTTAAAAGAGTGCCTCCCTATCCAAAGGTAATTTTCCTGCACAACTACATATTATGCCAAACTTTTGAAGTGCTATTAGGGCAAGAATTAGAGAATAGCTAGTTTTCAAAATTGATGCACAGTCGAACATAAATATATTTCTCTGAATACATCCAAAACATTTTAAATATCAAACAAATTATTTCTTTCAGTGTATAGGCCGAACAAACAAACGAGAGAGGAAGCCCAGAAATATATCGAAAAGCCGCTCACTAAATACAATGACAACAAATACATAGAAAGACAAAGAAGCCTCGAAAAAGAGAAATATCCGAATAACAAATTTGTCGAAAGACAGAGGAGCTTAGAGAAAGAAAAATTTACCAGAAACTATGATAGAGATGGGCGTCCGGGTAGCGTGGAAAAAGGAGAAAAATATGGAGAAAATAGGTAAGTTTATTCAAAATTAAATAAATTGTGATGTACCTTAAAGAACAGTTTCTGTGTCTGTAATAATTACAGGTGATTGAAATCATATTTTTGCTTAAAATTTTTGGTAAAAGTATGGAAGTATTCTCTTTCTCGTAAATGTAATTAATCGCATTTCCATTAATGCTAGTAAGCTGTGTCTCACATACATGTATATGTAAAATCTAAAAAAGTAGTACATTGTAAGTTTCTATGAGAAAACTGTATTTAAGATGTCCGTTTACAATTTCAAAAACTTATGATTATATTATTTATAAAAAAAAAAAAAAATAATTACAACGTATACAAAAGGTAGGCAACATTTTATACACGTCGTTTCTATTTAAAAATGCATTATTTTTGAAAAACTGTTTTCTCTTAATTTTGTTAACAATTTGATCAATATGTCATCTAATAACGAATTTGAAATAATGAGTATTCAATCAGATATTATTTTGAAAGCCCAAACTGCCAGTAAAATTAAAAGTAAGGTATTAAATAATTTCAGGAAATTTATGGATTGATTAGCCATATAAAATTAAATTTAAATATTCTTAAATTAATGTTAAATAATTTGGTAAAGTCAGCATCATTAAAGAAAAGTATATATTATGCTTCCATCGTTTTATTCATGTTTGAATTTTTGTTTGGAAGACTTTTGATGGAGCTGAATAAGATTACTTGATAGCAATGGTTTTTGCAATTATATGTACTTATCTATCCATTTGCACTTGAACTCTGAAGTCTAGATGAAACATAGGTATATAACCAAGGATGAAACAGCTGCCTTTTGATTAAGGTTGTGTGGGAAAGTTTTTAATTAAGAATTTTTAAATATATGTAAAATTTATTATTTTGTTTATTCATTTGAAGGTGTACATGTAGTTTGTTACAATTATTATTAGTGGATCATTTTTTTCTCAGAAAATAATTTCAAACTCACGACCATCTTTTCACTCGTGGCGTTTACGTTTTTATGCGACTTTTTCGCTCGCGCACCGCCAAGTGTATCGTGACGCCGGAGTTTTTTTTATGAAGTTTTGTTTTTATTTAAGCGCGTGGCTGTACTGGAGCGTATTAAGATTGACGATTAAAAATGTGTATGATTTTAATAGTTTATCCAAAGAAAATTTTCGATTATTGAGTATTTCAAGACGTTAGTTTGTTAATAAGTAGTGTTGTATGTTTATAATACATAAATATAGAGTGATCCACAAAAAATGTTTCTAAAGTAAGCAGTGGAAAAATTCACACATGTCGGAGCCAATAATTATTTTTCTCTTTAAGTGTCATTTTCAATTTAATTTAGAGGCATACCACGGACATGACTCTAATCTGTCTTTGTTTGCCAGTAGAAACACTTTTTGTGGATCACTTTTTACTATTTATATTGACTTTATTTCTTCTACTAATACTTGCTAAATTTTGTTTAAAATAAATGGAAGGCCTTGAACACGCATCTACAGAACTTCTGAGTTGATAACTTGAAGAATCATCGCCTAAGATTATTAGCTACATTATTATTAAATGTATTTATTAAATGTCTCCGAGGTCGAGCAGGCCAAATCTCAGACAGTTAGCCTATGGGTTGTGGGTTCGAATCCCACCACTGTGAGTTTCACCTTTTTTCTTTTTTTTTTTATAGTTAGGTATGCCTTTGTCTCTCTGCAATATTTATATGTTTTCTGGCGTCAATCAGTTTTTGCCCTATTTTATTTACTATTTATATTTATAGGAATATAAAGCGGTAAAACTCCTATCCAGATCTTCTCGCGCGAAAGTGAGGAAATTAAATCCCAATACTAATGCTATTCCCCAAATCTTAAATATCCTACGAAATATGCAACGAAACAGCCAAAATGGAAGCAGGAGATGCTTCAATTGCGGAAGAATCGGACACCTTCAAAGAACCTGTAGAAGCATGGCTCATTCTATAAATCGAGAATCAGCGAATGAAACCGGAAAATCATATATATCAATCTTTTCAAGGTCATTACTATAGACCAACAATAATTAATTACAGCAGCTATGCGTTCCGAAGAAGCCAATTACCCACACCGAGCCAGCTTTCTAACAATAACCAGAAAGTAGAGCATCGAGGAGGTCTCCATAGCAACGCAGACATTCTCTTCGGGCAACCCCGTTTAGAGGAACAAGATGGTATGGTAAAAGGCTCGAAGAACGAGAAAAACCGATTGATAATGTTAGTCTTCGGGCTACCACTATCAAGCCAGAGGGCGACGAAGAAGAAATTACCCTTCAAAATCTGAGACAGGGACAGAAGAAAGACAATGACGTAAAGGTTGTCCGAAAGTGGCTCAAAAATAAAGTCACACCTACTTGGCAAGAGATAGCCAAATACAGTAGAACTATAAAAGGCTACTGGACCCAGTGGGACTCCCTGTATCTTCACGATGGCCTATTGCACCGGAAGTGGGAGAGCCCCGATGAAGTACATGTAGTCCGCCAAGTGATACTGCCGAGGTCACAAGTGGGAAAAGTATTGGAGGAGCTTCATAACAGCCGTTTAGGAGGACACTTTGATACTAAAAGGACACTGGGACGAGATGTAGCGGATTGGTGTAAAAAATGTGATGTATGCAATGGCAGGACAAAGGTTTATGGATTCGCTCGGGAACGACTGAAAGCCCACACCGGTAAAGCAGAAGCTAGAATCGACAGGCGTGCCACAGATACACATTTTGAGAGGGGCGACAAGGTATGGCTGTGCAATCCCAAGCAGCGAGGAGGACTTCGTCAGAAATCGCAACGGAACTGGGAAGGCCCCTACTCCGTCCTTGAGGAAAATTAACGACCTGATCTGCCGCATTCAACTGTCAGCGGGAAGTAAATTCACATTGGGAAGATAGCTCCATACCATGTTCCAGATCCTCCCCATTAGTTACAACTAGGTCCCAGTAATGAAGTTATTCGGGGCGAATAACTAGAGAGGAAGGAGCAATGTTACGCAGCACCCTGCTGTAGCCTGCGGCTATTATAGGAAACGCAGACAGAAAAAGAAGTGGAATGTTACTCATCGTCCTACAATGTGCTGCGGTCGTCATAAGTAAAAGTACAAGTAAAAGAAGATAGTCCAGAAATGTGTGGAAATGTCATTACCCGTCAAGAATATTCTAGACGACAGTTCGAGAAGGGTCAAGCAAGCTATATAAGGATGATCCTGACGTCAGTTTTTAGTTTTATGATAGACGTTACATGTTAATGTTATCAGTTGTATAATTGTTGTTAAAGTTGAGTTGACATAAATTGCGATACCGAAAACCTGTGTAATAATGTAATGTTGGTTTCATTGTAATGATTTAATAATTTCTTACCAATAACAAATTATTTGAAAACATTAAAATTTATTTATTATCGAAATTATCGACAAAACTGTTTAATTCCTTTAAACCTACAGTGACTAGAATATCCCACACATCCAATTTTTTGTTTTTAGATACTACTACCAAGGAGACGAAGATAGAGATAGAGACAAGTACGATAGATACTTTGATTCCGATCGATATCCCGAAAAGACCAGGCAAATAACTGAAGAATACTCACAAAGAAAAGAAAAATCCAAGCCAGCTAAATACTTCGAAGACGATGGATTCGACGAAAACATCAGATACAAAAACAGAACTCCTGATTTCGATAAAGATAGCAGACAAAGATTTACGTACGAAGAGGAAGAATACTTCGATAATCGTCCCATGCCGAAAATTAGGCAGAGGTATCCGTCAGACGAACTGAAGATGTACAAAGAGAGCGGTCCGAAAAGTCCTAGTAGAAGTTCTCCTGATGACTCAAGGTAATAAATGGCCCGAGAATGTTAAAAATTATCATAAAACTGTTTTATCGAGGTTCGAATATTTATTATTTATAGTTTTTGTGTTAATAAATATAAAAATATTAATCCGCGATGGCATCACTACTATCATGATCTAATAATTAAGTCAGTATATAACTTATAATATTATTAATAAAAAACCAGTCAGATCTCACGCTAATAGGACTTGTCCAGAAAACCGAGATTATGCGATTTGCTAACTTTAACATCTAATAATAGCTTAAAAAATTTATTATAAAAAAATAGGGTTTCTTTAATTATTAGTTTATGATCATCAAAAAAAATATTATTATTGATGGCATCGGAAGATGTTTTACATTTGTTCAATAGATCATCGATAGTTTGTTTCTTTTTATCAAAAAAAAACCACAAACAATACAAGATTTATCCATTTTCAAACTTTAAAATAAAATGACATACATTGTTGCCACCCTAATTTTCTTTTCTTACTAGAGGCTTTCATGAAGGCATAATAAATACATTGGTGTAAAATGTAAAATACTCTTAATGGACAATTCTTGGAATAAAACTATTGCTTTATTATGCAAAATAAAAATATTTAAAAAAAAAACGCAAACAAATTAAAATTCATGGCTTTATATTTTTCATCAAATTTAAATGTTAACGTCCATAAAATCGGTGGTATGTAGAGTACGATTACAATAAGAAAAACACAATTACGTCATTACTTTGCACAGTCACTCGTTCGCGATATTTGTAACCATTTCATTTGCGTATATCTCAAAAAGTTTTTGAGATACCAATGTCTTGTTTTTACTGTACACCTTTAAAGATGTCACTTTTGTACTACAACTTTCGATTAGATAGGAAATATGTTTGATTTTTATCTGATATAGGGCAATTTTGTTATTTTAAATGGAAAACCCTATATATTTCTAGATATTCAAAAATATCTTCTCTCTTTCTAAAATAATTATGTATGGATTAAAAAAATTAAAATAAAACTTACTTATCCTTTATGTGCTGTTAGTTATAGATATTATCTATTTTATGTTTAAAATAATATAATCACATTCTGTCAAATTTTCGTCAGATTGAGATCAGACTGACTTTTTTAAATAAAATATATTATAAATAAATATCTTAATAAAACTTTCAGCTTTAAAAAACTACTTATACTGGTGTGCTCCCACCAGGTGTCCCACAAATCAAACTGTTGACTCAAGAATATTTATTTACACACTAAATACAAACCATTATTGAATTTTGAGCCTTGACAGAAGTCTTTCACCTTTTTTCACTGACTCTCCGACTATAAAGTTAGTTTATGTTATTTCTGAATAAATTCAAACATTCCAAGGTCGTTTTAGATCAATTTCCCTCTTTCCTTAGGTAATAACTACAAACAATGCATCAATTTTTAATTTCAGATATTACGCCGAACCAGAAATCAAACCGAGATCAATACCCCGTCCCAACCAAAAAGAAAACTTCTCGAAGTCACAATCCAGAAGCGAAAGAGATGAAAAGTCGATCAGATCCCAAGATTACTACGAAGAATCCAGAAAAAGCGGAATATACAGAGCACCGACGCCAAGTTCTGATGATATTAAAGCTCCCAGAGATAGATTCAAGGATGCTAAAGAGAAATTCATGATGATGGAGCGCGAAAGGACCGAGAACGAAAGGAGAAGACCCGAACCACCAATATCTCCTACGAATGTTAAAGAGAAGCCTTTTGGTAAAAGGTATACTGAAGGGTTTAATGGTAGAGATCGGTAAGTACATTTTCACTTTCGTTTATAATATATTAGATAACTTTTTAATAGTTTTTCCTCTATTACAGCATAAATCGAAATCATTACTGTAGAAAATATATTATTTACGTGCGCCTATGTATCACTTTAATTTTGGTAATATACTAAACGTTCAATTATAGTAAAATTTAGTATTTCCATTGGAATTATTTCTCTACAATTACCATATTTTAACAAATAAATAATTAAATATGGGTCATTTTTAGGCCTATAATACAAAAAATGTCTTGATAGGGAAACAAATAGTTAAATGATCTTATTTATAGGAATAATTATTGATGAAAATTCCTATATAGAGATCCATACTAACAAAATTATGTGGTACTAAACGATTATAATTTAAAACATTTACTGTAACTTTCTTCGTCATTGATATTTACCGTCCACAATTTCTACATACAAAATAAATTCTCCTGTAAATACCACACAAACGACTCAAAGAAAAAAAATGTCCTTGTCTACAATACAAATTATAACTCTTTATATCTCAACCAGCTACGCCACTGATTTTGACAACTAAGCGTTCTAAAATACAAAAAAAAAACACTTGATCAAAATACCCAAACGCTGAGAAAATTACTGACTTGTTTCCAAGCGGCAGAAATTCATTACTCTGTTTGTTCTACTATACGTATATATTTACTTTGTTTCCTTTTTCCTTATATTTAACACTGCCGCAGAACAAACTTCAACGAACCCTATAAATAAAATCAGTTAAAGATACATTTATTTAGTTCATATTATATTCCACTATTTATGGCCCGGTGTTCCAGCCATAAGTACAAATTGATTTATGCCATATTGTCAGAAAATATTGCTTAAAGAGTTAATAATATAAGATTTTTTTTTATTATCGATAAACCTTAAATACCCCTAGAGTGTAAAGATATAAAGTAAAAATGTTGGAAGTCTTCCTTGTTTTTACCATTCTTTCTGCTTAATTCCAGAATACTTCTGGTTCCTTAAGGCAATCCGCTACCTTACTATCTCGTGTTTTTCTTGGTCTTTCTCTGTTTTGTTTATGCAGTGATTTTATCTGTTATCTGGTCTTCCATACGTATTAGGTCCATACCATTTCATTTCTTTGTTTCTTGATTTCTTTTAAAACATCTTCGAGTATTATATGGAATAGTGTAAGGCTAACTACGCCTTTTTGTCGTAATCCTTCCTTGCTCATAAATTTTTCTGATTGCATACATATTGTCCTCACATAATTTCTGGTGTTATTGCGTTTGTTGGCAATTGTATTTTTTCCTCTTTCCAAGGCTCTTCCATATTAGATTTCATGGTAAATAGTTAAAAGCTTTCTCGATATATATAAAAGCTACATATACAGGGTGTTAAAAAAAAGTGTCACAAAATGAAATGGTGAATAGTATGACCCAAAATAAGCAGAAAAGTCTTAATAAATATATGACCGCAAATTAACGGTTTCGGAGATACGGACCATTTTGTGTTTATAACAATTTTTTATTATTATAAAAAAACAATGATATTTATAAACAATCAATAACAACATAGAGTTAAATGAGATGTTCAAAGTGCCCTCCCTCCATTTCAATGCATTGCCATTTGCACGACCGTACATAAAATGCATGTCAGCTAATTCAATATTAGTGTAAACAGGCATAACGAAAATTTATAAAATTATTCACCCACAACAAAATAATAACTGCAAATAGTATCTATGAAAAAACATCGGTAGACTCCGATAAGAAAAGCAAGTTTTTGAGAATGAAAAAAGATAATCAAAAATGATACAAAACACAAAACACTCCGTATCTCTGAAACCATTCATTTGCGGACATATGTTTATTAGTGGCCTTGTCTATGTTCTTTTCGATCAGCTGTTTTAAGGTGAGTATATTGTAATGATTCCACCCCGGAAAGTTAGAACTCTTTCATTAATTCTGCGAGCACTAAGAGTTGTGGCTCCAATGGGTTCCTACAATAATTAAAAAAATAAATAAATAATTAAAAAAAAAATAAAAAATAAAAAAAAAATAAATACTAACCGAAATAAAAATCTTGAATTGAAAAAAAGGTAAAAATGCAGTTTAGAGTGAATCCGCGTATTAATAAAATTTTCAGTTTATGTGAAAGTATATGTCATTTGAAGCTTAAAACACTAATTTAAATAAATTTAATCGCTTTTAAAATGTTCACTTTTTCACTTGCAATGGTCAATCAGGTGACGTTTGTGTACTAGTTTACTGAGATTGTTAAATTTATTATAATGACATGGAGATGCAATGGACACATAAACAAGAGTAACTCCGATGTCTACAGGCCGTATAGGTTAGGTAAATTAATTGAGTTTTTTAATTTTTCGCATTTTTTGTATACTTTTTTACGAAACAATCCGCGATCGTTCCAGGCCGCACAGGTTAGGTAAATTAGTTAGGTTTTTGTATAATTTTTGCTAAATAACCTGCAATGGCTCTAAAACCTACAGGTTAGGTAAATTAGTGAAGTTTTCTAAATTTTTCTAATTTTTGATAAATAACCTGCAATGGCACTAAAACCTACAGGTTAGGTAAATTAGATAGGTTTTTCTCATTTTATGTATAATTTTTTTTGCGAGGTAGTCCCTATGTCTTCAGGCCGTATAGGTTAGGTAAATTAATTAAGATTTTTTTTTAATTTTTCGAATTTTATGTATACTTTTTTTACGAAACCATCCGCGATGGTTCCAGGCCGCGCAGGTTAGGTAAATTAGTTAGGTTTCTGTTTAATTTTTGCGAAATTACCTGCGATGGCTCTAAAACATACATGTTAGGTAAATTAGTTAGGTTTTTAAAATTTTTCTTATTTTATATATAATTTTTTGAAGAAACAACCTGCGATGGCCCCTGTTCTCACAGGTTAGGTAAATTAGTTAGGTTTTTCTCATTTTATGTGTAATTTTTTTTGCGAGGTAACCCTGTCTCCAGGCCGTATAGGTTAGATAAATTAATTCAGTTTCTTTTAATTTAGCATATTCTGTAGCAAGAAATTGATCAAAATGTGATATATAAAAAACATATTTTTGGGCATTTCCAGGGCAAAAAAAAGTATTTTGAAATGTGTTTCAGAGGGTCTAAAATAGCCTTAAAAAGAGCCCGTTCGACCGATGGCGGATTTATCCTTATTTTTATGTTTTCTGATGAATAAACATATCATTTTTTTATTGGTGATGTTTTATTTTGCAAATATGGAAAATAAAAATTTTTGGGGGAGGGGGTAAATTTCATGATACCGCTGAGATTTTTTTTCATTTTTGTGTTTGGAAGGCTTGTTTACTTATAAAAAACATTTTTTTTTTGTTAAAATGTGGATTCACTCTAAACTGCCTTTTTCCGAAAAAAAAATAATCTACTTCTCTTCTTTCTTCTATACCTCTCCAATTCCTGCTTTTTTCTACCTCCTATTATCCTGCCTGCTGCTCCTGTGCTCCTGTTCTCCTGCCCAAATCCTGCTTTGTTTTCTGACGTCTCCAGCGTCTCGTTCCTTTTAATGTTTTTTTAAATAAAATCCCTTGTTTTGACATTTTTATTTTTAAAATTTTATTGAACTTCTAACTTCTTTTACAATCTTTTTAAATTTTTTTTTAGAAATTTTCTATCTTAATTAACAATTCTAAATTCTCCTGACAACCTAAAAAATTATTTTCTGACAATCTAAAAAAACTAGACAATCCCCACTAACGTTAGAACCCTAAGGCCTTTTCAAATAACTAATCGAAGCTAACGATACAGGACGGAAACATGACATCAAAAGTAAAATGACGGAATCATGACAGTATGTATTATCTTGTACATATCCCGCATTTTTTTTAAAATCCACTTTGTGCTTCTTCCAGTTGAACTTCGGTTTTTAGTTTGCGATTCCTCTGTAATTTTATAATATTGTCCCCTTTTTTGTAACAAGCCGAGTTTACATGTCTTTTTAAAAAGTATTTTTTTAAATTTCCATGTTTTTACACCATCTCTTTTGCTATCCCATTGCTGTTTTTCTCTCTTTATCATATTTATTGCTTCTACTATTTAGTCTTTTTTCGTAGTGTGCTGTAGTCTCACTGTTTTCCTGCTGTATCTATTATTTCTGAATTGAGTAATTTCTTAAAGCGTTAAAACTAAACCTAAAAGACTTTTTAAAATTGTAAATACTATTAAAATAAAGTTTTTTTTTTTAATTTTACAGATACTTCAACGACCACAGAGCTCATTTAGAAGATCCGAAACCAACGCCGGCCCCAAGAAACTTCCCTGAGGAAGTCAGATACCGCGATCGGCATATAGATTCTGAAATCAGGTTAAGAGACAGAGACCGAGATCGAGAAAGAGATCCACAATTGGACAGGTACCGTCAAGCTGATAAATACGACCCCAAAAGACGTTCCATGTTTAGTTTAATCGAAGAGGAACACAGGAAGAATTCTAGCGAGATTGCTAAGGAGTTGAAAAGAAGATCGTACATGGACGGTGGGACGTACGAGGAAGATATGGATAGAATAAATAGAGAAAGGCATTTCCAGGAGTTGCCTGAAGCTGACAGGTTCATAGATAACTATTCGAAATCTAGTATCGAATTGGATAAAGTCGGTGAATTAAAGTACGATCAAAAATTTATTAAAAATCAAAAACAGCCGAAAAATTCTGCTGGTTACAGACACAGCTACGCAGAGCCCAAACTTAGGATGGATAAAAACGGAAAAAATCATTTTTCTGAAATACTGCACAGGACTAATAGTTCTGTAGGGAATAATGGGAGAGTTGGGATAGCCAGCGTTCATCCATATTGAGATTTTAACGGTATTTAAGTACTTTGTTAATTTAATATCGTTTTATTAAAAATGGGCCAGTAACTTGAGGTAAAAAATCGGTTTAAAATTAGAGAACTATTGGTAATGACAACACATAGTCCAATGGACGCCCATTTTAGATCTTTTTGAGAGTTAGAACATTCATAGCTGTATTCGAACGTCCATATATGAACATTAATTTAACAGCTGCATATCGATATCTAATGGACGTCCGTTTTTGGATTTTAAATTTTAGTTTAGTAGTATTTTGACGTCCAGTCATTATATATATATATATATATATATATATATATATATATATATATATATATATATATATATATATGCACACATTATTTTCTTTCCAAAATATAATTGTTCATTGAAAATTGAAAAATCTATTCCAAGTATTTATCAGCTGAAATTTGAAATCCTAATAACTACTTTTAGAATCATATCAAGTAACAAATTGTTAAATGCCTCCGACGAGTCGTAAGTTCGATTCCTGGTCAGGTCAAGCGTTTTTTAATTTAATAAATAGTTCAAATTAGATGGATGGCACCGTAAATAGTGAATTAAGAATGACAACTTATTTATTGAGATAGAGTCATGTTAAGAGCGCTGACTTATGTCCCCTCCACGTGATGTTCTGCCGTTATATAGGAATGGCTTAGAGTTGAATAAATTAATAGTAAAAAATATTTGTAAAAACTAGCTTTTATTTAAATTCTCCAAAAAGAAGAAACATCTAATCCTGAGGGCAGTAGTCATATCGTGGTAAATGATATATGGGTCCGCTTAATTGAATTATTATTTTCGTATTAATCTCAGCAAACCCTTTTATATGATACCTATATTATGATGGTAGATAAGAAAATTTTTTCCGCTATATTGAAGTTTTTTTCGTATTATTCTCAGCAAAATCTTTTAAATGATACCCATATCAATGGGGTACATAAAAAATAACTAATCCGCTATCTTTGGGAGTCGGCCATATTGGATTTAGAATGACGGCACTTAGCTAACCATGCTTTGTCATCTAAATTAAACGAGTATGCAAAATTTCAGCTTAATTGGTTAAAGATATTTAAAATTCAATTGCAAGATTTGACCTAAACAAACATACAAATATTTCAAGTTAATAAAAAAGCTTTTTTAAAAAATGGAGGGAGTGATCTCAAGTAACGCAATGCCTATGGCCATCGCTTAACCTTCATGCGTGGACAAATGAGCAAATAGAATCCATAAATTGACATACTTTAAACATCCAGTACGTTCAATGAACGTCCATTGGTAATTGTTTAAAGTTCATTGCGTGGATTTGCAAATCGAATAATAATCCAGAAAGAGTAGTCCTCTGAATTGTCAATTGTCATTTGTATACTTCATTGGACGTTCGTTGGATTCCAAAAACTTATTTTTGGACATCCAGACGTCCAAATATATATGTGGAACGGACGTCTAATATATTTGTGCTGTTTGTGAAAGGTCGGTTGAAAATGAAAACAACCCCAATCAATATAAAAACAACCAATGGTGAAATATTATTAATAACGAGATATACTATGAAATAATTAAGAAGGAAAAATATATAATTGAAAATAAATAAAATAAAACGAAAATCACTAGTCATAGAATTATTATTCGAAATCAAGATAATAATGAAGTGGAGTCAGATGAAAACAATGATAAAAAATATAATAAAGGCTCTTAAAAAAAAAGAACTTAGAACAACAAAACCGACAAAAGTGACACAAGAATTAGGAAATATAGTAACGAAAAAGAAACAACAAAAAATAAGGAGTAGGGTAAGAACAAAGTGGTTACGAAGAGTTATAGAAAAATTAAATGGATAACGTATTTTATTAGAATAAAAGACAGAATAGAAGATTGTGGAGCAAAATTTAATCCTCCTCATCGATAAGCTTTTAACAGCAAATATTTAAATTGATTTAAAAATACCTTAAACATAGACCTCAAACTATTTTTCCCAATGTATTAAATTTCAAATTGCTTCTTTTTGTCTTTTTACTTCATATTCAGTAAATAATCAGCTCTATTATCGAAAAAAGTCGTTCAGAGTTAAAAATTAAGCTGCCTAATTATTATTTGTCCTTTGTTAATCTAAGTATTGTTGGCATTTTTATTAATTTCCATCGCCATTCAGTGTTCTTTATAAATGTTCATTTATTACATTTTGAAGTTATTTTTCATTATTTTTAGTTCTAGTTATTGCAGTATGACTGTCAATTACTAGGCAAAGTTGCCATACATCAAACTAGAAACGTAACGTTTTAAGATTTAAAACATACGACTTCGGTATCTGGTATGAATTAAAAAATAAAATGAAACCTATATTGATTTGTAAATATCTATTAATTTGTGAAATAAAAAATGGGGAACAATTTTAAATTACTTATTTAAAATTTTTACGGAAGAATTAATTATTAACTTATACATTTTAAAATATTTCGTATTTAGATTATTTTTATCTCTTGTGACTGGCCTAAAGTAATTGTGGTACAGGTAAACGATTATAAACGTTTTTAATATGTGACTAATATTTAAATTATTAATAAGCGTGCGCTCATTTGTTAAGTAGTGAACAAATTTATTTATAACATATGCAGAGTGGGCCACTGTAAACAGTCGATTATGACATTTGACAGTAATTATTAAATAAAAAAAAAATGCCGATACAATTCGATTTTTAATAAAAAGGGGGAGGATCTTTTTCTATTATATGAACGTCTTTCATATGGGCATTGGCGGCGGAATACCATTTCTTGGTAGAGTGTAGTGTACGTAAAATTTGATAGATTCGCTGATCTACCTTAGTACCATGGAAGGGGGCGTGGAGGCTAAGCCTCTAACGGCCCCCCAGCCACCCTTCCGCCACCAATGCATATGGGGAATTTAGCATTATGTCTATTCTTTGCGATAATTGTGATTCAAGCACCCTCTATTCAGATCTCGGTCAAAGTCTGAGTTCTTTATATACCAAGGAGCGTTTACTACTATTGCTTTTAATATTTTGTTCTAGAAACGTTGTATTATATTTATATTATTAAGTCCATACTGGCTTCAGTACTTGTTTGTATATTAAAAGTTTATTTTCGATTGAAAATTTTGATTTTCTATTCATCAACCAGTATAATTTTCTACATTCTTTCCTTTTATTCTTTGTGTTCTTGCCACTTTAATTTTATATCTAGGTTCATGCTTAAGTATTTCACCGGTTTAGAATATGGTAGTCTAGTATTATTTAATATTACTGATAGGTATTTTACTGATCTTTTATTAGTGAATAACCTGAATTGTTGTTTTAGTTTCGTTGAGCTTAATACGCTATTTGTTTGTCCACTCGTAGATTTTATTTGTTGCCTGTTGACGTTTGATTTTACCGATGGCAAGTATGGCTGTATCGTCGGCAAATGTGGCTACTTTATCATTTACGTTTGTGGTATGTCGGAGGTAAAGAGCAGGTAAACAACTGGCCCCAGAACACTTTCTTGAGGTACCTCTGCTTTAGGTTCTTTAAACGTGGAATATTTTTCTTTTTTACTCAGAAGTTTCTGTCAAGTAGGATTTTAAGATGTCGCAATATAGCTTAGGTAAAAGTTTATTTTATATTCAAGGCGTTCTAACCATACTTTATCGAAAGCCTGAGCTACATCTAGAAAGAGTGAGGTAAAAATCTTCTACTCTTCAAGTGTTTTCCATATTTCATTGTGGACTTGATTAATAGTGGAATGCTTGTTCCTAAATCCAAATTTGTGGTCAGGTATTATATTTTTACGTCTATCGTGGGTTTCAATCTTTTTGGTAAAAGTTTTAGACAGCACTGGTAACAGGGATATAGGTCTATCGGACTTTACCTCATTTGGTGGTTTTCCAGATTTGGGTATCATTATAATTTCAGCGACTTTCCAGTTACTAAGTACATGCTCGAGTCGAAATGCAGCGTTTAATATATTAGTGAGTTTAACCCATAGCCCTCATGGTTTAACCACAACTTTTCTTGAAATTTAATTGACATTTTCTTTCATTTCCTTATCAATCTCTTTAGGCGTTACCCTAGGAATTCCTACTATGTTTCTGTTCGCTTCTTTTAATAAATCCAGTCCTCGTTCTTCATTCGGTTGAATTTTTTTTTCGAGATGATCTGCAAAGATGTCAGCTTTTGGTTTATTTGATCTTGTCTTGCTCAGTTTCCTTTGTCTTCTCTTATTGTTTGTATGTGGTCTATTGGACGTTTAAGTTAACTACTCGCTTTTCACAAACAGTATCAGTATTTTTGTCGTTCGTCAATTTTATTTATTCATTTTTAATAGTGATTATTTTTTTTTTAGTTTATCTTTGGGGGATCTGGTGATTTGCCATTTTTGCTCTTAATGCTCTTAATTTTCTCCTCTTATTTATTAGTTCTTTTATTTCTCTAGGGAATAAATTGCTTTCGTTTTTTTCTTGTAATTTCTGGTATATTGTTCCATGACGCTTTCTGTATGTCAATGACAAATTTTTCTAGCTCGTACTTTAGTTGTTCTTTTGTTCTTAATAATGCACTTAGTTCAATAATTCTGTTACTTAATTCAGCTCTAAAACTTACCCAGTCTGTCTTTTTATTACACAGTGTGATTTCCTTTTTGGTTTATATTTTCGCTTATAATCATTATCACCGGGGAATGATCTGAGTCTAAGTCAAAGGTTTCTTCTATTTTAATAAAGTTTCCGGGTATTTTCTTCCATTTGTCGTAAGAGTTCTCTGTAATTTTATTTTTTTAAATTATGTCGTGGTGAGAAATATGCGAAACTGTATTTATTCGTTTTTATGTTAACTGCTGTTGCTGTACTTCTGTTGCTATTTTGTTCCCGTCATAATGGTTAATATTTACTTTTATTATTATGGCGCTTCCATCTCTAGCGTTATCCGACGGATGTATAGTACTATAGACTTTATATACTTTAAACTATATAGCTGTCTTTGGTTAGGTAAATGTGTTTCTGATATTAGACAGATATCTATATTTTGTTGCATTAGGAACACCAGTAGCTCTATTGGATGGTCAAGGAGTCCATTAGCATTCTACATTATAATGGTTCAGTCTTTACGCTCAATTAAGGATGTCTAGACGTTTGGGGATAAGTAGCTTCCTCTAATCTGGTAATTCTGTCAATAATTGTTTTAAGCATAATAATGATTTAGTTGTTGGAGATTCGTTTTCAGTTTGATTATTTCTGTTATTACTAGCCACGTTTGAGTATGTCAAATTGGCCATTTTTTAT